AATTCAGAAAGGAGCCCATAAATGTTGAACGCATACGGTAATAATGCGAGGCATACTCCCGTGAAGCCACACGGGAGGAGCGTGCTGGTCTCACGCGGGGTTCGACCCGTGCAGCGCTCGCGGCTCGTAAACCGTAAAACTGAAATTGGTGCCTCGGGGCGCGTACGTGGCCGCTGCGCTCCCCTCGTTACTCTAACGTTCCTCGCTCAATTCTGATACTCAAAATGAATCTTGCGGCAAATATATGCGTGCTCTAACACACGGTTATATGCATTAAATGGTGCATGATTCGTATGGTTTGTATCTTATTACACGAGGAAAATTAAGCACATCAAACCTTCCCAGCTTTAAAAAGCGGTAAGAGATGCAGTTTCCTTGAATGCAGATTTCTTAGGAAAACAACTAATGGTTTTGGTAGCGTAATTCTATATGAGATATCTCTCCAAGGGGTCACGTACCCATTGATAAAATTTTTTGTTACTCAATCTGTAAAATTCAAGAATCCTTACATTCAATTTGCAATAATTCATTACTTTTGAATGGCAAGAAGTGTAATTAATTGATTAGCTTACAGCGTAAATTAGCAGAATAATTATTAATAGCCGGGACCTAGGAACACCAAATGCAGGAGCTGTTTCTATGTGTGCGAAAGGCGTGCGGTGGCAGCAAAACCGCCATCATAGCAGTGGAAATTTTTTCTCCCGGAAGTGGCAAAAGTGGAAACGCGTCATTTGCCGCGTCGCTTTGACACGGGCACGCGGGAAGCGAGCCTCGGTACGGGAGGGAAACCGTGTGGCTCGGTGCGTGTGGCAGCACCGCACAGTGCAGCTCGGTGCGTGTGGCAGCACCGCACAGTGTGGCTCGGTGCGTGTGGCAGCACCGCACAGTGTGGCTCGGTGCGTGTGGCAGCACCGCACAGTGCAGCTCGGTGCGTGTGGCAGCACCGCACAGTGCAGCTCGGTGCGTGTGGCAACACTGCACAGTGCAGCTCGGTGCGTGTGGCAGCAGGTCGTTGTGCACACTTCTGATCATCCAAATTAATTCTAAGTCAAGACGTTTCAGTAGTAACATTTTTCAAACATTTTCCAAACTTCAATCATTCAGACTAGGTCAGCACCTTAGATCTAGAGGCATGAACTATTTCCAATCCCATTACATGGCTCCAATAGGCGCTATATAGTTACGATCAATTGACATAACATTCACAAGCAAAGCTGAACTTAATTATAATCAATTCCTCTCCCGTTGGAGTAATGCTTCGCTTCATTGTGAATATTAATCGCATTATTTTACATTTTTCATAGTTATTCTGTGAACTTTAATCTAATATCTCTACACTCGAAGCCCATAATTCCAAGACTTAAGTAAACATATTATGACGTCGCTTTGAGACTAGTTGAAATCTATAAACACACTTACGATATAAACAATCTGAAAATATGTTAATAGCGAAACGCGCTTAATAACTTGTATGTGATGTGTTAAATCCCCGTCATTGAGTCTTGCAGATGATCGCGAGCCGAACAATCATTCATCTTGGGCAGTATTATTAAGCGCGTAGTCTGGATACCCTAACACCGCTGAATTTAACTTCATATAGCAAGGTCAACTATCTTAATCCACTAAATACAGGACAATTTAGATGAAACCTTCCAAATGACGAATAATTAACTCACTAAACGTCGGATATCGAAATCAAGGTTAGACAATAATAGATGCATTTAACGAGTTCAGAATATGAACTTAGATCAATCATATCTCCGGATGGTCCTTACACTAGATGCTCACGACAAATACAATTTTGTAACTAAAAATTGACACTGAATGAAAAAAACTTTCATTGAATTCAGTTCTTAATTAATGCGAATTTTGCATATTAAATGTATAATTGTGGCCATTGTGTTAAGGGAAAAAAATTCAGTCAAACAAGCAAAAAGTTATTTTTAGTAAGTTAAATAGAGTAAAGTAAACAGTACATTTGTTTGCTTAATAATTTGATATAAGCCATGTTGAATAATACTAACTCCAAAGGAAACAAAATTGTCATCCTGTGCTACGGTAAGTTTAGCGCGTCACGTCTTTCTGAATAATTAGATACGACAGAATAACAATACACAGAAAATGTTACGTAAACAGAATGTATCTGTTTACGTAACACAAGACGCAGCCACATTATCCTAAATAATAATTGTCTATAGGATGAGTCGCTACAAGTTTTGGAACTATGATGCGCCAGCGAAGTGTCCGAGATCAGGGTCTGTCCGGTCGATCATATGAATAAACAACAGGAAATTTTTGCTTGCACAACAATATCAACGATGTTATCAACCTTGTTGTTTTACGATTTACTCGTATAAGGAAAATTCCGGATTCTAAACGAGTTCAGGAGCTCGAAGTGTCATGAATAAAAAAAAAACTAGGACGAGTCATGAGGCGCGAGTCTGTTTTTCATACGCAAGGTAACGGTAAGCCTCCGCTAATGCCAGAGCCGAGCTGGCAGCTCGCAAGGAAATCTTGTGTGGTTTTTGAGCAAATGCATACGTTAGAAATTTTCCCAAAGATCCGTTACATTGCGAAGAAATGCAGAAATATAATGACTAAGCCGTTTGAGTGATTGCAATTTTAGGAGAACAAAATTCAGTACATGAATAGTATATTAAAACGCGTAATATTTATAGTACGATGCACTTATAGAGGAGAATGTACATTCACATTACCCTAAATGACATACCAATTTATTTCACAAAGGAGGTCTCAAATGCGGGGCTCGGCTAAGGAAATCCCCTGTAATGCTATTTTAAGTACATATATAACTTTTACTTTTCCGTTATTAACAACGCGATGATAGTCTATTTCGGAATTTAAATTTGACGATTCAGTCCACAAAGTGTTGAATAGCGAAGTAAATCACATAATTATTTGCTTCATTACACGGAAACACGCATTATCAACTATTGTTCAGAAGTTTTTTAGTGAAAGTCAGAAAAATATTCATTATCAAAAAACGTTATGAACGAAGGCAGTGTGGAAACATTTGTGATTATAAGTTTCATTTTTGACAAAATTCGGCTTAACTCTAAAATAGAAAAAATTATATAGTAGGGAGCCACAAAGATTCTTATGGATTTAGCGAAGGTTTAGCGAGATGCAAGAAGTCGCATCCGCTGGTCAATTTCAAGGCGAGGTCTGCATTGTGACGCAATGCGTGACGTAATGCGTGACGTAATGCGCTGGACCCGTTCCAGCGTGACCCACATGATTATGTCCAACATATAACTGAGTTTCACTTTTCCTCATTTGTGCATAATTTAAATGATAAATTTCCGTGAAAAATTGTCACCGGAACATGAAGTTCCTTGTTTTACCCAGATTTATGGCTCTGGCTCGACCGGCGCCCCAAAATTAAAATATATATATTTCATCGATACAAGGATTTCTCTCTATTTCCACATGTGATGAGTAACATACTGATAAGAGTATTCTCAGCCAAAGACTACAAATAAAATAGACTCTATGAAGCTAGCGGATGCTGTTCTTTTATATTATGTGTCATATAGTGAAATCATCAAATAAAGTTCAATGTACGTTACTATGGACTTCGTGACACATCAAGAAATTATTAATGCAGCTCATGTAGAATGAGAAATAATAACAAATTACTTGAAACATCGCACTTAGATCTGTTCACAGCTAACGCTTTCCCATTTTCTACATCAGTTCTACACTCGGAAATGAATCCCTTTTCCCGAAAAAAAAATCATAGAAAAAATGCAGGCATTGTGTGCTGACTATCATCGAAGGCAAGATACTTCACGGCAAGCACTTTATCTAAACATATAACAATCCTTCAGTGGAAGGATCATGACAAGTGACCATGCAATAATAGCGCAGGACTGTCAGGAGTGCAAGGTCTCCTCGCAAGTGCGTGTGGCGAATGACGACCACGACAGCTGGAGATATGCTACGACCTCAGCATATATTCTTTCAAGTGCCAGAAACATATACATTAACCTCGCACATTGGGTGAAACTTGGAGCCACTGCCATGATAAAAATAACCGTATCTCCAATTTCATGAACAAATAACGAGAACAACCTTATATAATAATTGATCACAAAGAACTAATTTATATAGATGGTTGTATTTTCCTTTCGTTGTTATCTCTCTTACGCAAAGGATTATTTTGATGAATATAATGTGGGTATTATTATTATATTAAAAATATTATAACGTTTATATTATTAAACGTTAAAGGCGCATCGCTGTGCATGCAAATGCAGCGGTGAGTGCATTAATTACGAAGCATAACGACTAGACCTGACTTTGCAGTGGGTATCAACATCGCTTGCATGTCACACGCCGCGGCATCCACAGGCCAGCTCCACAACCAAGTAATTCGCGTCAAAAACATAGGCAGAACAGTTAGACTTGAAACAATTGGTCACTGCCATATTATCAAGAATGCATCACTTATAACTCCTAAGAGGTTGCGTCGCGGTAGCAGTTGACAAATCGATCAATTGTTGCTAACCAATTCAACTGCATATATGTAAAGGCCAAACACAATCCGGACCAAATGAATGCCATGACAAACTTTACAAAAAAATATTCATTTATGGCCTACTTGGACGCAGCTGACAGGTATCTGTCACGGAAAACTTGATTATAACTAAATGGTAATTTTGTCAGTGATAAAATGTAACTCGAAGCGTCCTGATTATACTATAAATATTAAAATTAGTCATGACGCGGAATGGAGTCAACACATAATTCATCGTTAATATAATATTTGAGCAGTGAATATAGTAGAAGTGTTCGTCACATCTCAGATTAAATAACGCGTAAGCATTCACTTGCGCCTCAAAATAAATAACAAATAACCCTTTGTTTGCGGCCTAATTAAGCAGTATCAGTGAATTAGCATAGGCAGGGAAGTAGCAAGCAGGCCACGCCCTCCCTTGAATGCGGTCAAGAAAACTCTGCGGGGCCGAAGTTCAAAGTTAAAGAGCTGAGGGCACATAAAGTTCGGCCGAGGGCTGCTGTATATCTACGGCGGCCATGACCGCGAGAGCCGCCCCACCAAAGGACAAACCGGCCTCTCCTGAGAGCGCAATTAAATAAGTTAAACTACTGATTCACCGTATTATTAAGACATAATACAGTACAGTCGACATTCTATTCTTGCAGAACAATAACTCTCTAAACTGCCATTGAGTGAGAATTTAAAAACTACCAACATATTCTACGTCATCTCCAACTGAAACTCGTCTACAACTTGCCTCTTCTATTTGGCTAAAGCTACGTCAAATAACATTTTATTATAACGAAACTCAAATTGATGACAATATTCGTCCGTTCTATTCTCTATCATTGCAATGTCGCAACGATCCTGTAATATCTGCCGCCTGCAAATGGGCTGTGAAAGGTATCCATGATACGCTCGTGACGTTTATTTAATCGATCATTCTGCCGCGGGCACGAACGTAAAGGTATGTCGGCTGGCATAGGACACGTGCATGCATTGCATGAGTGAAAGTGGCTGGGAGATACGGCGGCGGCGGCGACACCAGCGTGACACGACCTGTCACAGCGGGAACAGGTCGGCGGGCGCGTCTTTGTTACCTCCTGCAGAAGGGTGGTGCACGTTCGTTTACAGTCTCTTGTGCACTTATGGAGCTTATTTCCTCATATCATTTTTTATGATAAATATAAGAGGAACTAGATACATCATGCTTGACGAAGTTATTATAGGTAATCAGGATGTTAATTAATCTCATAATTTCAGCTTCAGCAAAATCATAAACAATTAATTTTTTCACAGTGAAAGCATAAATAATATTTGAATAACTAAAAAAAAATTTTGAAGTTCACATGTTCTAGAATATACATATATACCGAAAGCCCTCTTTACTAATGTACTGTGTTAGAGTGCAAGGTAAAAACATACGATAGTCACAGCTCATCGGTAAGTAAACGCAAGTGGCAATGTTTTGAGTCTATGAGAGTAGGAAGAACTGTAACTGAAAACACACTCGCTAAATCCGGAGTAATTCTAACAAAGGGCTTCGTTATTTATTTGCACCAGCGGAGACCCCACCCAGCAAATATTGGAAGTTTTTGGAAGCGTTGACAAAAACTCAGTACAGATCTGCTCACGAGCTAGCTAGCATGAGCTCGCTCCGCTGCGCTCGACAAGCGACATTTGAAACAATAAATAACCTCCATATTAGGAAACTAACAATCTGCGTCACTGATCACGTGAGAGCCCGTAACTACTTTAATCATTTGAAATGAAATAAAATCTTAGACTGTGACTACAATTATGAGTACAGCTTAATAGTTGAAGAATAAAATTTAGTCCGTGAGTTTATCTTTGCCTCAGGTCGCAGCACGAATAGATTTCGTGCGGCACGATGCTGCAACGAAAGTTGTTAATGCGTAAAATTTGCATCCTATTCACTTGTTAATGAATGATAATACAACAATAAGTCTCCCTGAAGGCATTAAAACCAAATAGAAAACTATAAACACTATATGAAAGACAATAGCCGAGGGGCACAGATTAGAACAATATTTTGTTCAATAACATAACATAATACAATATACAATAATATTGAATGAATACAATATATTGAATAAAACCTCCTAGTGACTCAACTTCACTTGGAACAGTCCTTCCGATACAACGCATTTCGATAACATTAAGCATATGGAATTGGCACTATATAGAGTTCAATTTGACCTTCAGACCGCTCGTTCGAATAAAGGTTTGATTGGATCACACGCAAGACTTGTGCTACAAGGATTGTGCTCTCATTTAAGCCCTCAAATCAACGAGGCATCGGTGTCGCTTGAACATGTAGCGCGCCTGTGCGCCCTTGGCTTCGCTATTCAGGCGTTTCAGTAAGCGATCGAAAATTCCATACGGACTCAGTGCAACATTTTGATACACAACTTTTGGACTTGAGATTGGTTACGTCACGTCACGGTCAGACAACACAAAATCTATCTACTAATAACTACTCAAAACTAGAACTTAAAGCTAATTAGTATCCAGAATTCACGCTAATTTTTATGCAAAATAGTAACAGAAATAAAAAACTACAAATACCTTTCACCAAAAATACCGCATCAAGCAAAGACAATTCCCTCATCAAGCCATGAGCAAATATTCAATTGGAAACGATATATGGCTTGCGACGATGGGCAAGTCACGATCGGGCTGCAGGCAATATGAAGATTATCGTGACATGGGACTTCACCAGAACAATCTCCAGGGTCCGTTACACATGCAATCAACTGAAATTCTGTGAGTTCTAAAATATATCTCCAAATGAAGAATTGCAATAAGATCACCAGTTAGTTGTCATTTGGCAAATCTATGCAGAAGAGCATAACAGCACATATTTTTTACTTCGCGGATTGACGCACTGGAATGAAAGACAGGTGCTGAGGGACCGCACCGAGCACCACACACCCTCGCACCGCGGCTGATGGAGCCCAACTAACTACCTGGCTGTGGCACCTGAGAGTCGGCAGCCAATGACAGCAGCGGCTGGCAGGCCGGATAAACAGAAGTCATTGCAGCAGTCACGGGGTGATGCTCTTACCGTCACGCGACATTGGCAGCTCTTGGCTCCAATTATTTGCCTTTTCTTGTGCAATGAAATCCAAAGCAAAACAACGAACTCCGAACACCTCAATTGTCTAGCTCGATTTGCTGGTATGCACGCCTCTCTAATTTTGCCTTCTTTGTGAGGGATGCAATGTAGAAGAACGGGATGAAGAACGCGAATTTAATACATAATTTTATTCAGAAGGTATGTAAACAATGGTAGACTTTTTTAAACAATGATTACAAGCAGGAAACATTATCACTCAAGCCGTGTTTCAAATGCAATACACATTGCAAAGTATGAGGCCACGATTCACGAAGAAATGGTTGGAAGCAGTTAGCCACGAGAACACACCAAAAGCGGTCATTATCAAACTCGTAAACTACTTAGCCTCCACAAAATCAACTCAATCATTCAAGCGTAATAAGCGAAAGTTTACATTGCATGGGTATCATTTTATAATAGTGACTCGGCATAGGTCCGGCGCACCTAGATCAGACCGGTCACGCATGCGTCTTGCAGCGGCAGAAGTTGCCGTATCTGTCAGTCGTTGTGATCATGTCTCGTCCACAAATAACGATTAACGTTCGTGGGGTCTACGTTTATATGTGCATACATTCATGAGTGAGCCAAGAGCAAATGAGAGAGCTGATCTCTAGCAAAATACGAGCTCAGCAATGGGCGATCTGCAAGCGGAGAGATCAAACCAAAGGTTGACAGCGCCAGAAAAAGCAGTTTGTGTCAAGCGCTCTTTACTGCAGCAGCGCATGGCGGATCTGAACGTAGCACCACGTGGAAACTCGGGGCGAACAGAACCCTAACATACAATTACCATAGATGATTCAATAAATTAAATGAGATTGTGAAAATTGAAAGCAAGCTATATACCTATCGTCGGTGAGATTTCTATACATGAAATAATACGTTTAACTTTTTTCAAAGAGTACGCGGAGATAAATTATATTTCATTTAAAAGTTCGAAAAAAAGTATTGGAAAGTATTTTCCTTCGAAATAACCCAGAAAAGCCTGGCTGGTGATCAGGTTAAGATTGAAATAATGTGATGTGTTTAACACTATAGAAGCACGGCAGTTGTACACCACCTTGAAACATTGTGAGAGGTTATTTTAACCTCATGGGTTTAAAAATTGTTAATAAGTCTCTTTTACCCCCGGACCTCCATTGGATGAATAAAATATCATTTTAATTGCTAATTTTATTAACTTTAAGCTAAACAGTTTCTAATTTGAGCGTCGGTAGGCGTCTTTCGCGGCATGTCGTTACTATGCAAGGAGGAGTACCTATACTGTTCGTTCAATACACCTGTCATCGTGTTACATATGAAACGCGCTCCAAACTTGTTCTGACAAGTCTGAACACAATGCTACTAATGTGTACAGTTTTGTAACACGTAACTATAACGTTTTTTGCGTTGATATGATGTTGTGCAGAAATAAAATCAAAGTATATGTAGCATGAGTTCACAATGACGTCATCGTGCATGGAGAAAGAGTACTTAAGTGTACTAAATGCAATTGATGTATCAAATTGTTAGAAAGTAATTAGATATATAATAATGAAAGAATAAAAGTCACAACATTTCTTGGCAATGAAGTAACCCTTTACATGTTCTACCTATTTTAACGTGCAAATTGAGGACATTTTGACCTCACCGTGCTTCCAGTGTTGAAAAAGAAATTAAATCGTCCAGAGAAGCAGCACAATTAAGTATTTTCTTTTGTTCACAAAGCATAGGGGGGAATAGCATGCTGCAGAGGACAAATTTGTTTACATTTTTAGCAAAATATGTTTGAGTTTAAGTTGGAATGGCGAGCGCCGCGGAGTTAATAAGCGGATGAGTTCAGACCAACAAGCGCTGCTCTGAAAGAACGCCCAAAATAGGTCAGCAGCTATGGACTTCAGCAGCCATGCCTGAAATTACAGAAACGGTCCACCGTCTCACCGATAATGACATAAAACCAACAGAAAATCATTCTTGCAATGAGCAAACTGAACCGATGAATTCTAGCTTCGTTTTATCAGAGAAAGAATTTACGCTACACTTCTATCACAAACCTCATGACAAGAAATGTTATACGGATTTGAAAATTTACTTTGAAAAATGTTTTGGGATGGAAGTTGCGAAAGCATCTCGGTTCACGTTAAGACAGATTCAAAACACATCCATAGAATGCAGGGAAAAATTAAACGAATAAGATAGTCGAGCTGATAGAGGCGGAGCGTTTCATTCGGAAACGTCGGCGTTCGCATGCTGCACATGCAGGCGAATAAAAAAAGATATCTATATATTTACTTGCATAAATTTCTAGTGTTTTAGCTAAATGCCCAACAAACGTACTTTTGGAAAGAAAAAAACGCTAAGTTTTACATGGTCACCTCTATAAGTCTTAAAATTCTTAGTCTTAAGTCTTATAAATTCTAAATAAAATACAATTCTTAGTCTTATAAGTCTTAAAATTTTCATAATGGCCCTGTACATCACAAATAAATGGATGGGAGCAAAATTTCCACAACTTCACCACAACTGGATATTTTGTTCTTATTATTACAGCGTAAATTAAAATTCGTAAGCCCGAGTATGCGGCATATAAAATATTGGAGAAACTTAGCACCAAACTGAAAATCAAAAGAAGCCAACATAAGAACTTATGACGTGCATTGCCGTATACATGAAAAATTTACCATTTATCGCCAAAGTATACGAATTTACGGCAAACAAAAAATCTCACTAAACCGGCAGATCATCCGTTTACTTTAACCGTTGATCAACTACAGAATCTCTCCAAACTAACAAAGCCAAATATTTTTTTAACCCGTGCCTTCAATTATTTCACGGAATATTTTCAGCGGCTGTTTTTACAGCTACCAGTACGTGTTCGTTGTGTCTATGTTTTTGTTGCTTTACCAGCGGTCACAGCTATATTTACCACAGCTACAGAGGCTGTCGATGTAGCAGGTATCATGGTTGTATTAATTCAATTATGGCTGGTATCATATCCCCGCGGCATTTGTAACCGTCTGCTAATTGTTGAGCCTATTATAATCAAGTGCTTATAGTCATTTTATCCGTTCACATCCCTTCTTATGCCTATTTATTTTTCACTTGCTATTAATCTTATGTATGACGTACCTTTGAAGTTCGTTTGAACCAGACGTCACGATGAATGCTTATTACAATAATAATATTTGTACTATCATTATGCTATAGCAGTAGTTTTTACCGATGATCAAGATGTACTTACTGCAGCAGCTATACCACTTCGATCTCGGCTATTTTACCGCTATTTAAGAAGAAGTTATTGGAGCTGTTGCCACAGCTACTGCACCCGTTGTTGCTGTTAGCCCACGGTGAAATGCCACGTTGTTGTAGCTGTTTTTGTCACTGTCAGAAAACGCAGCCACTGCTAATATTGTAACTGTTTCTACCACTGTTATAAGTGACGCCGTTGACACAGCATGTTGTTTCTTTTTTTTCTCTCCGCTGTTTCAAATGCAGCCTCTGACACTATTGCAACTGCTTTTACAGCTGTTCGGGTTCCACCATTGACACTGTTGCAACTGTTTCACCCGCTACTCCAGGTGCAGGCATTAGAGATGTGTAGCTATTTCAACGATGTTCAAGATGCAGCAGTGGAGCTGTTGCAGCTGTTTTTACCGCTGTTCCAGATGCAGACACTGCATGCAGCTGTTTTTACCGCTGGTCCAGTTGCAGACACTGCATACAGCTGTTTTTACCGCTGTTCCAGATGCAGGCACTGCATGCAGCTGTTTTTACCGCTGCTCCAGATGCAGGCACTGCATGCAGCTGTTTTTACCGCTGTTCCAGATGCAGGCACTGCATGCAGCTGTTTTTACCGCTGTTCCAGATGCAGACACTGCATGCAGCTGTTTATACCGCTGTTCCAGATGCAGGCACTGCGTGCAGCTGTTTTTACCGCTGTTCCAGATGCAGGCACTGCATGCAGCTGTTTTTACCGCTGTTCCAGATGCAGGCGCTGCATACAGCTGTTTTTACCGCTGCTACCCCCACTTCCTCACGCCGGCCTTGGCATTTGTGTGCCGAGGTCGCGCGCTCGCCGCTGTTGCTTGCAAGCGCAACCAAAGCTCGCCAGTAGCGCGGCCACTAACGCTGTACTCGTGAAAACATACGTAAGCTTTGAGCTGATATTTGATCAAGTCTTGAAGTAAACCTGCAAGTTGTCTATCGTTTTATAACTACTCGTATTACTTTATTAGGAAAAAATATAAAATTCTCTGTATTTCCTTCTGACTTTAGGAATGGTAATCAGACATAAAAAAATTTTCATTGCTTTGAACCTAAACTTATTTTCATCCAATATTATGAGTTTATATAACATGTTCACATCGTAAACATCGAAGATATATAAAAATTAAAATAAGTTCCGCTCAACGTTCAGACAACAACAATTAAATATCGTGCTGCATAAAAAAAATATTTCAATTTTCAAGCGACGAGAAAACAAATTAGAAAGCGCAACTGATAATGCAAACAAAATGAAAAACAAGTCAAGGAAATTAAAATAACGTAAATGACACGTATCTTGAGATATTAAAATCCAAAAATCCTAAAATAAGTATTCAGGATTAAATTATTTCAAAGTATTAAATTATATTCAAGAAACAACTCTAGAGAGATGACATACATTATAATCAGGCGAAGGTGGAGAATAAACGAATACATTAAAGCGAATGCTCGCAGGCAGATTGGAAGTGGCCTAGCAACCAACGCTCAGCACCTGACGGTCTTGAACGTAATTATTTATCAGGAACGTTGGGCAGGAAGAGCAACACTAATGATGCACAGGTCACAGGGGACGTCTGCATGTCTGTTGAACACAGCGAACGAAGGAACCGATGAGACGCTAGAACAGCGGCTGAATATTGTGCCTAATTTGTCAGCAAGCTTCAAGAAATTTAATAAGATTAAAATAAATGTAGATTTACCGTCCGTCGATAGTGGGCAAACCCGAATTACTCCGAACCCATGTACACCAAAAATCAATTAATCTTAAAGGTTTAATGTTTCATAGTTAATAACAGCGAATAAAACACAATTACTAAAATTTGAGACGCTAGGCAAAATTATGTCTTCAAAAATACGTGCAAAATCACTTAGTCCGCTGCAGAATCACTTGAAAATCTTAACAACACGAGTGCAATAATCCACGGCGAAAAACTGAGCTCCCAACTTTGAGCAGATCTCAATAAAACACTTAATTGCTGACCTTAGAGAAAATGAGGAAGAATTGCTGCCGCTATAACTACGAACAGGTTTTTATCGCCAGCAGCATCACAACTGAAACATTTACCTCATGCAACATGGCAATGCAACTTGTCAGCGATTTCATAATACTTCCCAACGAAGTCATTTAAATCTTATTTTTTAAATAAAGTATAGCGCTTGCATTTATAAATTGGATAACGTTTATGTGCTGCAATACATTTTTTTGTTATCACGCTGGACAAGCAATTTATGAAGATAAAAACTCAGACAATCGTTTCAAACTTAATGACTCCACATTTCGAATAACTATGCCGTTTTAGAAATGTGTTATACTGGTGATTTACAATGAACAAACCAAACACTAGGAGATGCAATACTCAATTTAGAAACTCATCAAAAACGATTCATTTCAAAGGCACCTTAACTCCGGAGAGCTGGTGCATTATTTGATAATTTGAGTACAAAACCAACTCGCGAATCGAATATTTGTGATCGAACTAAAGTATCTTGGATCCAACAAAAACGTCGACTTGTAATCATGAATCCGAGCCACGCCAAACACGTCACTCGTCCAGAAGTATTAGAAATAAGAAAAAGTTTGTTCATGTGTGTGAAGGAAGCCACGGGTTGTGAATATACATGTATATGGGCTATTATAGCGCGTATCCACATTTTTAGTGAAAGAATTACGAAACATTCCGAAGCGGGAGAAACGAAGATTTGGACAAAAATTTTACATTTTTAGTATTGGATTATTCGATCGATTGATTATTTATTGGAAAAAATTAAGCGGTCCTTGAAACTTTAAAACGGAATGTTGATACAACGCCATTTTTTGTATTTTAAATCACACTAATTCGTTTTAAATATTTTCAAATGAAATCTTATAACACTTGGATTATATCTATCACAAGCACCGCCGAGTTCAGCTGCAAGTTGCAAATAAACTTGAGGTCTCTGCGTATCTTTAAGTCTAAACGATCAGTTCACATAACTTAAATAATACAGGGAAATGTATGTACTAGCACATATCAGCTAATCAAGATAAGTGATCATGAACCATCATATGTCGCCCGCATGATTTCAATGAAGCTGCACCATAAAGTGACATTAACAACAGAGCAAGCCGACCACCGCCACTTTGTATCAATGAAGCATATTGGGTAACGAGAGTACTGTGACACAAAGCACTGTGACATTTTTCACACTGAACGGCGCTGGGAAGCTCGAACAGGAGATCCATCGGAAGCAACACAGACATGTTGAAACGACGCCACGAAGGAAAGGTCAGTCGCTCCACTCCCATAACTGACGAACCAAAACGAACTTCACGACAACGTCGCGACATTAGCAGTACGGGACTTGGTGATAATATGTCGTAAGCAAGCCCGATTTCTCAAATCCTAACGTAGTAAATGATTCAACGGGATCCATGATGAAAAACTCTCAATGCAGTGAAGGTACGATGTATTTGACGGGGACCAGCCACTATACCGTGATTCGATCTGGTATCTAATTGATGAGGTACATGAGATCAGAATCATACGTCCTTTTCATGTTAGGGTACAAGGACGATTCCTCTACAAATGCTTTAGTTGGTGGGACTTGAGAGGGAGACCAAACCTGATTGAACTGCTCAATCTTAGAATTTTCAAATAATTTAGAACACCATTTGTGCAGAACATAAATTTTCTCGAGATGCCATGGGACTTATTGTTCATTTGTTATGTTAACTGTACGAAGTTGGATTCGTAAAAAAATTGAGTCGATTAATGATCAATTTATCATCAGATTTAAATTGATCATTCTGTTTTAATCTGACGAACAGAGAGGACAGATTAAAAATGAAAAGACTTGTACTCACTGAAGGAGCGCGGTCTGGCAGCTCGATGGCAAGGGCAGGTATCACAGGCAGACCGTTGCACAGAACCCGCACTCCAGCTCGGTCCTCTCCCGCGACGCGCGCGAATTGCCGTAGAGCGAACGGTCGTCAAATGATCGGTGATCGCCGGGACTGGATGAGACGAAGCTTTGGCTGCAGTTATTTGTTGCCGAGCGTTAGGTTGTAAATGGTCTTCAAGTGGTTCATCTCTCGAACACCGACAGTCTGAACTTTTAGAGCTGTTAACACTCGCCGAAAGTTCAGATTTGTGAGCTGAGTCTACAGGTGAGTTGGGTGGCGGTTTTGTATCAGGAACGCTTGTGCAAGAACGGCCGGAGTGACAGCGTAGCAATCCTTCGTGCACTGCAAGAAAATACGAAAGTCTTATGCATTTCAAGGTGAAAATATCTAAGATAATTACCGTAATAATAAAAATATTAGATCAGTATTTACAAAAGAAGACAAATCATTGAATATAGACAACGAATAAATCAACTCCACGAAATATGTCAAAGTCCAATTCATACTATATAATTTTTAGAATTAATTCAACTTCCTTGAATACCTGAAAATTAATGAATTCAGCTTCTCTGAACATCGTGATTACTTCTTACCACATGGTAATTGAAGAAGACTGCCAAAAAAAATCATCGTTTTCTACTACGCCAGTCAAAAAGTATTTCGATTCAGAGAAAACGTTACTATGCTATGCAGAACTACGGTATTTTTCTTGGCATTTTCATCCATAAAGCAGAGTGAACGACTCATGGTTGAATTAAATAATTCAACCATGGAACGACTTATCTAAATCATACTGATTTGAATTACAACGCTAAATAATAAATTAAATAAAACAAACAACCTTTTTTCACTAATGACTGGCTCGACTAAATTTCGATTTACTATCATACTGAGTTTGCTGGCCGCTATTAACATCCGCAGAGGCTCTCACCGGTATATATTATAATAACATAATATAATGGTGTCAGCTTTGGTCATTGGCCTGTCACCGATTCTTCACCGCCCGACCATGTTCCCGATTTCGGCCAAATTTTTTTTCTTTAATTGTTTTCCATAAATAATAGCTGCGGATTTCAAGCCCCCAACTCTCAAATCTTCTTACATGGCGATCTCGACCACTCTGCCACACCGAGCGCAGGCTAGCCTAAAATTTCTTATATAAATCCTCTAACTTAACATATATCCACCTAAATGACATTTCTCCAAACTCAACGTTTTTCCAATTATGCCTCGAAGGATTATCCACATATTAATATTTAAACGTCAAACGAAAATGCAAATTGTGTAACAAAATCAAGAGTCTGGATCTGAATCAGAATAACATGGAGTAACTCTGGGCATCCAAAGATAACAAAACATCTAGACGAATTTTCATCGAAAAGTAAAGTTTAAACCCAACTGAGTCTTTGACTACAATGGTGCACACCCAATATATGCGCGCGAGGTCTTAAATTAAAGTTTTTAGGTCAAAAATTGCAAAACTCGCTTAGAACAGCGAGCGTCTAGAGCAAGCTAACAAGAGTCAATGAGTGCAGAAAGTGTTGACAGAGTTGCCATCTATTTCTTTCTCGACGATGACCGAAGCTGGTTTCGAGAGTATAGGTTATTCCGAAGACTTTATCTCAAGAAAAAACTGTTGCTAATAGAAATAAACTAACCTTGAATTATCTTTAGATCTATGTTAAGTCAAATCACAAGACGAAATCAGTTTTATGAAAAAATATGTAACATGTAATCAAACAAAGTGGCCCATTCATAGAAGCTGTTTTCAACCGGTTACGGCACTGAGAAAAAATGTAAACTTGGATATACTGATGAGGTACATGAGATAAAAATGTTGTTCTCTGGATATGCACCAATGGAAATTTTAGACAATTTGAAGAGACAGTTTAATTTGAATTTGTTTATGAGCAAAAGATTCGTTCAATTTAGACCGGAAACGAGGAGAGTGCAAGAAAAAATTAACCTGAAACAGAAATTGCCACACAGTCCTTCTTGCCGGCACAAAATTATTCACATGATGACGAGAATGTGTTGCCTTCAAGCGATGGAAAAAGTCTCCCCTATTAAATTTAATCTGCTTTTAAAGTAAGAACTCAAGAGAAGATTACGTAGTTCTTTACTTGTCATGCACCGAACTGGAGGAAATAGCGCAGCCTGTACGTGCAAGTTCTCACTTACGCAACGTCGTGGTGCAGAGACGTGCAATCTCCACGCCATCACAACGGCTGCCAGCGCGCCAATACTGGAGTTCGCAGGACGAATTAAGATATTTGTAACTTGAAGTATTGCGGCCGATGTTCTAGCCAACTTGGCTAATTGAATCGAAATGCGAGATGAAAGTTTTCCTCGATCTTTTGTACACGACAATGCACTCGTTTTCCGCATAATTTACGTTATAATATTTCATATAATATAAATAGGACAAATAAAACGTTTTTCCATACATGAAACTTTAAAAATGTAATACAAACAATTCTATAGTTACTCGAATAGTTTTGAAGACATAGCTCAGGCAATTTTTTTCCGGTTGTCATACCATTTTTACACCATTGAGATATTAATTATAAATTTTTCGTGAAAAATATCAAGCACCAGTAAAGCCATCGATGTATGTAAAAGATAAACGGTTATTTCCATCACTGCCCGCCGCGATTATATTGCAGTAATGACATTACAGAGTTGGCAGGGCATGTGTCTGTATCACGCAAAGCGCAGTCGGCAATTAATCAAGAAAGTGAAACTCGTGTCAGAAATGTTACAGAGCAATTTGGTGTAACATTAAGTAAAGGATCACGTAGTCAACACGTTCGAAACAAACTGCCAAGCAGCGCGTGCGGATTAACGTGCTAAACGCGTGCATGATATGACCACGGCAAGGCCCTGCATAAACGTTTCTGCGTGCGCAGTAAAATTTAGAAACTGCTTCTCAGTGTTGGTGTTTCCGTCGCAAAATAACACATGCTATTTGATTAAAAATAAGCAGTCGGCCAAGAAAGACATTAATTAAATTTGAAGACTTGGTAAACAATGGATTGACCACAAATGTATTTCCCCAAACGTCACCACTTTTGTCTTTGAAAACGTCCAATGAAACTTCAGTTCAGTCAGAAGACATACGTGTTTCCCAACGACCACTCAGTGACAGGTGATATGTACAGTGAAGCATCACCCAAGGACTGCAAACTGTTGGCACAATTTCCAGGATTAACCTCCTCAACGTGGAGTCACCTACAGAGGAGCATGTGCACAGGCAACTTGAGGTCCTTCCCAGGCCTACGCCTGCGGCGATCCCATGTGTATAATGTTTTCCTGGATGACAATTACAGTGAGAATAAATTGTGAATTTTCACGGCTGGCAATCATAGAGACGACCTTGAAGGCCGCCATCCACGGAATCCAATCAAAAGTTGGAGTTGCTCAGGGCGCATGTAATAGGAAACTGCAACCACTCAAGATATTATTATTGGTTCAGGCAATGCAGTAACTTGGATTTGCTGGTTGTACAGATATAGCAAAGCAATATAACCTACTCGACTCGACATGAATTAACGATGTAAATCACGTTTGCAAAGAATTCACGTTTCCCTAAACGATTATGAAGTACTCGTTTCTCTCAAAGCTCATACCGTATTAAGTTCAAGCAGTTAAATGATTGGCCTGTTCAAAAAAAACATTGCTCTGAGTCTGTAACAATTGCTTGGCTAAATTTTCTACAGCTCAAATTAGGGAATTTAACGAAATACAACACTTACGAACATCACTTACCCCAGACAATTACATCACGAGTTGCAAACATAAGAGTTCTCACGACTGACGAAGACACCGACACCCCGCAAACAGAAACAAATCAAAAGGACCCAAGGTCGAAAGTTATCTAGGGGCCTGGGAACGCTTCGGCCTGCATCTGTCAGGTGAGACACAGAGCTATGAGAGACGCCTGGATGGGCATAGCCAATGTCGCCGTGGTAATTACGAAGCAGACTCGCTTTACGCGTCACCCTTTCCCTCTTTTTCCAACAAGGACGAGACGGCTGGTGGAAGTTATGGGATTTAGTCCAAGCCAAAGTCTAAACGCTGATCGCTATTCACTCGAAGACAATAATAGTCAACGGCTCTCATGTCCACTTTGTCCAGCTATCTACGCGGAAACGAACCTCGAAGTGGTAAGGTTTTTATTGTTGTAATACTGAAGCCTCGTCAATTCTTACTCAAATGTCGTTTTGCTGACACGCAATTCGCAACGTGTCTGTGCTGTTTGTTGTGGCCATTCACATACTTAGAACTCATATAACGTTTCTGTCACAATCTGCTGTCAAACTGCATAAAAATCACAATCTGCATGAAAATATAAATGCATTGATTGAAACACATTAGTTTTCAACCATCGGTACGGACGTTAAATTTGCAGGTAAGAGTTACTAATGGATTCCATTATGTAAGCAAGAGCACATCGAATACTTCAATGCTCCGGCAGCTTCAAAATGAGACTTCTCAAAAGAATGTTGCTTTCATCTGAGTGCGCAGCGACGAAAGTCGTTTATGTGGTTACTTGTAGTTCTCCTCTCTGAGCGCAAGGTGCCGTCGTCCCTTTTGAATTAATTTATTTCTATAAGGCTTGCACTTTTCCTTCTCGTATGAAAGTAATACAAATTTACACTATATAACTGCAACATAAAACCTTGACAAGTTTAAAGTGATTTGTTCCATCAAACTAAAACTATTTAAATTATATTATTAATGATTATGTAAAGTTGATGTTAAAAATTGGCGAATTCAAAATTGCCACTTTTTTACACTCGAGCCTGTAGAATGAATAATATCGCTCAACATCCTACAACATCAAGCTCCCAAAACGCAGTCTAATCCTTTTAACATCCCCATTCCCCCGCTTTTCAGAACTTTGCATTTCAAGATGTTTATTTCAGAATTATATATGTGTTTGAAGTTCAGTTTAGTTTATCTTGGAATTCAAAGCAAAAAAATAATTGCAAGTAAATCGCAAAGAAAATTCAAATAACCATTGCTGAGTTATGATGGGGTATAAAAAATAACTGTACGATATAAGACATGCACAAACAAAAATTTGCCCAATTGCCGACCATCCTCACAATCAACTTTCATTATTATTCTCAATAAAATTATTAAATTCAACAAATGCGTAAAATTCTGACAGGTATTCAATGCCGTAACAGTCGATTAAGGAATATAAAATATATATTTTGCATATTTATCCTCTTAAAGCACCAGATTTTGATGATCTAGTGATGCGCTGCATATGAGGACCTTACGATACAGCAAGGCGTCACAAAGAAGCGACCACGTTCTACATTTTTTAAGAG